AATATAATTATATATTCAAATATATAATTATAATTCAAATTCTATCAAATTACATAATCAGCAAAAAGAAAATGTTATATATCATTTTGAGTTTATATTTAAACAAATATTTAATAATCGTGATTTTAAGTAAAGCAAATAATTATTAGCTTACGAATTTAGATAATATAATCCGTACAAATTTTTTTCTTATTACTACAGAAAACTGTTTGTCATTTCGGTACAAGTATAGTAAAGTATAGACGAATAAGCTTGACTTGTAAGTCATCTTAAGAAGTTTAAAAGAAGTTTAACATTTTTTTCGAAGACAAATAACTGACAATAATTACAAAATCTTGCTTACCGGTTAAGAATGAGTTAATGCGATTACATTTGAATAAAAAAATAATCATCGATTAAACGCTTTAAATAGATTCTTAACTAAACACTTTTAATTAGATTCTTAAAGAGAAAGGATAAACGTCAAGGTAAAATCGTTTATCTAAATATTTATATAATAAAATCTTCTTCTTTACTTTGACGCGATAATCGATTTATCGAACTTGAACTTCTCGTTTCTATAATAATTTTGAGTTAAGACTGAAATTCGAACAATTGAAAGATATATACATTGCGAAATATGAACGAAAAAAGAAAAAAAGAAAAACGAAAGTGTAAACGTTTAAATCGACGATAGAAATTCCTTCAGAGATAATGTACCTCGTAGCTTTGCGGTTCCGCGTGTATGAAATGATCCCACAAAATCTGAAGTTTGTTAATCGAAACCGAAGACATTACTGGACGTTCTTCAAACTCCTTCTCGTCGTCTTCTTCCCGGTCCTCGGTTCTCAACCGCATATCTTCCTCATGGCTCATAAGCTCGTCGAAGCTGAACCATGGATAAAAGGTATCCTCCTCGGGTAGCCTTCGAGGACCACTGTTGGAACACGTAACCCGATCACCTGAAAAATCGAAACTTTATTATACGTTTCGATGCTTTCGCCTCGTCCAAAGAAATATTATTTGATCGTATTTAATCAAGCTCGATTGTGTTTCACGCGTCCCGACTCTCGCCACTGAATATTCTATCGTTAAATCCACGCGACTTTGAACACCTCGCGTCTATAGTAGTGCATCACGGCTTCTCCCCGCATATTTGCATCTATGTAAATGATCTCTGTATGCGTTCGTGTCGATCAACTATGGCTTACATAACATCCCCACAAATCCACGACAGACCGACCAGTTTCTCCAGCCTTCAGCGGGAAGCCTGAAAGCTTCTTAATCCACGAGCCACGAACCAAGGGAGAGAATAATGGTGATCCTCAATTCATAGACTTGAATCGTGTATCGTCATAGACACTGTTGTCACTACTACCACCATGATCACCATCGTCACTACCACTAACGCCATCATCGCCACTACCATTGAAATGTAGTAACTTGTCGTTACTCGTCGTTAGCACAATAAAACAGAATTTGGAATCACGAACATCGACTGTTTCTTATCAACGCACAATTTTCTTTCTCGTGTCACACAATGTTATCACTTGATCTCGAACGTATCACACAATTCGTTGTTAAACTTCCAAAACAGTCAGAAGCGATGCTTTCTCGATCTCTTTCCTTTGATTTTCTTTACGAGTTACTTCCGATCAATCGATCGATCCAGAAGAAACGAGACGACTGCGATAGTCCCACGACTATTGCACTTCTCCCTATCTTCCTTCTAAGCAAATGATTGGAAACTCGGTGGTATTTACGTTAGACCACCATCGAGGCTCGCTACGACCAAGGATCACGACCTCTTCAACTGATCAACTATCATTCCAACCAAGTAACGATGATTCACCAATTCTTTTTAATATTATAATTTTTTATTACAAGCAAAAGTGGTTGTATGGTCATTGATCTTATACTATTTGTAACTTTACTTTCAAGTTTAGAATACTGTGAATGGAGACAAAGTAACTCGAAATAAAATACAATTGATGTTTTCATATAACGATTCCACGATATTAAATCATATATTATTCTGTTTAAAAAATTTATGGAAAGATTTTTTTATTCTTATTTCAATAGCGATTTAATCAAGTAAAAAATATAATTTATAACCTTAAATAAAAATAGATTAAATTTCATAAGTCTACGATAAATTGTTCGCTTTTTAAAAAACAATGCATTAATTAAAAAAGGAACTAAAGAAATTGATATGTTAAAAGAAGTGCATTAGATAATGTATAAAACTATGAAATCAGCGATTAATTACAAATGAATGAAAAGAATATATAGATAATATTGAAACCATAAAACGCCAAACGATCAGAATCCTAACAGAATTTTACAAAAAGATTTCTAACATTTCTTTGAACATTGGAAGAAATATATTCGGAAAGAGATTACCATCCATTTGAAGAGAACATCATCGATCTGGAAAAAAATTGAAACACGAATTTTTTATATATAATTCTATGAGTTTTTTGAACAATCTTTAAATTCAGCTAATAAAAATTGACTTTTTTTTAAACATTTTGTATTAAAAAAGTCAAGCTTTTCTTCTATTAAAATATTTAAGTACTTTCCTGTTTCAATTTTAGTTATATAAAAATGATGAAATCGAACCACACGCGTTTAAATTTTTTCACCGATATCATGCATTGTTCAAAAACAAATTTATTAACAAATTATCAATCCCAAATTTTCATTGATAGATATAATTAAAATATTAATTAAATAAATATGAATTTCGATTATAATGCTACTTCACTAATACTTAGCTAATTCCAATTATCTTTAAATTTTCAAAATCCATAACTGTCCACAAATCACAAGACATAAGAACGAAACCAGACTAAATATGAATCTTCTGTATGTTGGACGCCTCCAATCATCTTCTTTTTTCACGGAAAACTTATGATTCTCCTCTATGTCTTGAGATAAAAGAATAGATCTCAAGGAAGGCGAAAAATATTAAACAAAATAACGTATTCTTCTTCGTGTTTCGATTGTCTTTGTAAATATGTCATCAGTTAATCATATTGAATTACATAATAAATGTTGCATTTTTTATTAAAACATAATTATCCTCGTTTCTATAGAATAAAAATGGAAAAAAGAAAAATATAAAAAATTCTAAATATCGTGTAATATTTTGCAAAATATTAATAATAAATATAAAAAAGTGATAATATTTCCAAATATTAAAATTACATGCACCATATACAAACGATAAAATATGTACGTTTACATCCAATAACCAAATAATTATCTTTATAATAATATTTTTACAATAATTACATTATAACTATGACTATCGAGTTGTTTCTTTTTCTCCATTTAATATATATTAAAATCTCTCAGAAAATATCGTAAAGTGGCAAATAATGATAATTTAATAAAACAATACGAACACGTGCAAACAATTGAAAACAATTTCAATAGACAACATATTAGTCGTAATTGTCGATTAATCTTTGACTCGTATAGACGAGTCTTTATTGTTCTGCATGATTATCTTAATAGAGTTCTACCCCACTGTTCTTTAATTAGCCTCGCCTTGATTGTGCGATTAGTATGTATGTTCATCCCAGTCTTCTTCTTCGCGAAAAACCAATCGATATTTATTCCGTATGTGTCAGTGAAAGAAAGAAATATAATAATATGATATTAAATGTTAGAGATAAAGATAATCGTTTCAGTTATTTTTTTTTAAAGTGATTGTAAATTTTCAGAAAATCGTTTTGCAATTGATAAAACAAATTTGATAGAAAATTAATCGTTAATGGTAATGTATAATACTATTCATTTAAATGTTTACATGTCTCATGGTAACCTCATCGATGTATATTTTGTACAATCAATATACATAGATTAAGCCTATTTATTATTTTAGCCTTGAATTTTGTATTCATATCTTGATTAAAAAACTAAACTTTTAAAATACATTTGTTAAACGATGACTATTTTATTTCTATAAATAATTAATAATTAATAATTTTACAACCATATCACAACTATAGTTATATTCATTAATTTTTTATATTTTTCATTCAATGTTTTAATAATCATATTATTTTTCTCTGTAATTTCTAAAAGAGTGTTAATAAATATCAATCAACAAACACTAAACTGAGATAAGAGTCGACCTTCAATATTTTTTATATATAGTTATGATAATGTAAGATATTCGAATTTTTTTCTAGAAATTTTTTTCTATTGAAATTGATTGTTTTTCAATTTTCAATTTGCGTCATATTCCCGCCATACATTTCATAGTTGTAATTTCATGCGCGAAGAAATTATAGCAAATATCACACAAGAGAATAACAAAAATGTAGAACAAGATGGCAATGCCTTTGACAGAAGTAACCAATGGTTATTTTAATTGTTTATAAAATATTTGTTACCTGAATTGAATGAATGGAATCCGTAAAAATATCTTTTTAAAATTAATCACAATTTTCAATTATTGGAATGTAATATTGATATTATTGTTCTTTTACAGTACGAACCACATATGACAACCGCTATTTTACACTGGAAATGAACACTTATCCTAGCCCTCTTTATGATTTTTGCGCCATTTTCAAAATATTGTCAAATGCACAACATATTTCGTAACATTATTATTTAAAAATAAAAATGCATAATACGAAAAAACAACAGAATTTGGAAGATATATTTTATTCCATTGCACATTTAAATAATATAATTCATTTCTTATTTGAACAGAAAACTTAAATTGGAAGAGAACTATATATTGATTTGTGTCGAAACAATGGGCCTTTATTGAAAGAAGATTTTTCGAGCAAAGATCTTTAAAAATTTTCAAATTTTTATATAAAAATCATTGATTTAATTATATTAATTATTTTAAAAAGTGCTATCACGTATACTTACGCGCAATATTTTTAATAATAACAAATTTTACATTGTTTAAGGAATATCGACATGCCATAAAAGATTTCTAACCTTCATTTTGTTATTCTATCATTAACTTTTTATGCAAGCGTAAAAATTCTTTCAATATAATTATTAATACAAAAATGACTGTATGGGAAAGATTGCGAAATCCTTGTGGTTGGAGAGCTGGAGCTAAACAAATTTCAGTTGATGCAATGATACCGATATTTGCGGTTCCAATATTAGCAGTAATAGCCGCACAAACAGTATTATGTACTGTAATTATATTTGTCGCAACACCGATATTAGTATATTATTTACATCACAATTTTTTAAGATTTTTACTTCGTACTAAGTTTTTTCTAATGTGGACTATTACAAGTGTAATCATGTTAATGCTGATCTTTGAAATTAGTGTCGTACCTTTATTAGAGATCTTGCTAGAAGAGAATCTAGTGTTTATAATGTGTGTAGTGGGTGGTATATGGTGTGGCTATATGACTAGATTAAATGCAGATTCAGCAACTCAAGAAAGTACTTTAACCCAAGGATTAGAATTAGGTGAAGGAAGCGGAGAACTTTGTATTACATGTAGAAGAAGAGCACCTCCTAAAGCGCATCATTGTCGAATGTGTCAGACATGTATTTTGAATAGAGAATATCATTGTAAATGGTAATAGATTTTTTTCTTTATAAAATAGATTTTATCTTATTTAATTTCATATTTTAGGTTAGATTGCTGCATAGGTTCAAGCAATTTAAAATGGTACTTGGGATGTTTATTCTTCTCAGCCATAGCTTTTATTTATGGTTCCAATTTAACCATGACTAGTGTATGCCATCCATTTATACTTATTGGCACTGTTCTTTTGCCAGACGATTGTAGTGATGTATATTATCAATTAGAGTATGTATAACTTAAAAAACATTCAATATTAATATATTAGATAGTAATAATATTAAATAGTAATAATTATTAGATAGTAGTAATATATTATTAGATAATAGTAATAGATTATTAGTAGATTATATGTAATCTTCAAATTATTATACAATTGTTATCAATAGTATAAATTTATACTGAGAAATATAATATTCTTTTCATTATTAAAACTTAAAACTAAACTGGAAAGATACTAAGGATTTACAATGCAAACTTTAATAATCATAAGATACTGATAATTGCTGAGACTTGTATTAATGTCGTAAATATTGTAATATCTCTTATTTGCTTTCCAAGAATATAAAAGTTGAATAGATAACATGTCGTGCAACTGTTTGTTTTCAACATCCAATCAAAGTATAATAATGTGCATATTGTTTCAGCATTGCCCTTTGCTTCATTTCGGCACTCTACAGCCTACTTGTTGGATTAGTAGTAGTTTGTTATTTAATATATCATCTTTGGTTAATCTACCTTGGTACAACATCGAATGAGCGACGCCTTCTGGAAGCTGGAAGTCCATATGATCATGGGATATTGAAAAATGTATCTCGTTTATTTTGCTGCAAAACTTAGATATTAAATGTATATTAAATTAAGTTATTTTGGAAAGTGATACTTTTCATTAAATGCAAAAGATATTAGAAAAATTGAAATAATAAGATCAAAACATCAGACAGGCATAGTGGTACGTGAAAACAAAAAATACATATTCATATTAATTTCGATCTTAACATACTCCAATACTCAGCCTTATCTTTATCTTATATTAAGTATTAAATATTTTTAAACTATTGCTCATGATATTAAACTTAATAAAAACATATCACGACGTAAAAGCGCTGATCTCAATTATAGTTTTAATTATTTTTATTTTTCTATTACTCGCATCATTTGTATATTTATTATAACTGTGATAAAATGGCCATTGTATTTAACTATACAACATATAAATTATATTAATTATGTGTAGTATAAGATTTTAAACATAAATTAAGTATGATATAAATGTTTACACTTTTTTCTATACAAAATATAAATGGATAATAATCTTTGTGTTACATAAACTTAAACATATTATTATGCAATGCAATCTTTGTATTTTAATGTTATGAACTTTAATCCTCCGATATTACACCTCTTTGTTTAGGATCAAAATCAGGAATTACTTTTAATACTAATTGTCGCAATTCATCTTTTCTTTTTTCACTTTCTTTAATGTTTGTAGCAATTGTGAGATATTTTTTCCATGTATTGAAATATTTGATTTTTAATTTATTTTCATAAATATTTATAATTAATTTTTCTTTTATTTCAGTTTTTGTTTTAAGTTCAATTGCTATTACTTGCCATAATTTAAAAAAGTTATCTAAAAGTTTCATATCATAAAAGTCTATTGCAACTTGATACTTCAATTTTAATTCCTTAACTTCTTGTTTCCATTCTCTAAATATTTTTAAAATTAACTTCGTATTATAAATTGATTTAACAGTATCAATCTTTATTTTATATTGATTTTCTATTTCTTTTTTCCATGTTGTAAAAATTTTTTTTGTCAATTTTTCTCTATAATGATCTTCCGCTTTTTTAATATTACCTCGTAATTCTTCAATAAGTATTACGAAAGGTTTCATTATATAACGTCGTAGAAGATATTGTCGATAAAATTCATCCGCTATATTGTTTAATCTTTGAAATTTTTCTATTTCTCGCTGTCGATTTCGTTCTTGCTCTTTTTGTAATCTTTTTGCGTTGGCTAAAGCCTGTTAAAAAATAAACATCATTATTTGAAGAAAGCATGTATTGAATGCATAACATATACCTATAAAAGCATATATATTTTTTTATGAGGTGATTGTTTTAGTTTACGAGATAAATTTATGAATTTATTTCTGTAATATTTAATATAACATTTATATATATATATACATAATTAGAATTAAATACTTTAAATTCTCTAGTCTGACCTCTTGTTGTAACCTTTTCTTCTTCTGTTCTTCTTCTATTCTAGAAGCTTCTTCCATTTTTTTTTGTTCTTCAAGTTTCTGTTTACGGATTTCTGCAGCCAATCTTATTCTTTTTCGTCTAGCTTCTGCTCGTGCTTCCATTCTTAATAGAAATATCGGTGGATTCATTCGTTTTTGGGGTACCATTAAACTTTCGTCTCTTTCAGGAGGATTTATATAATCTATTATAAATCTCTTTATCAATATAAATTCTAAATTGTTCTAAAAATCGATATTACCTGTAGCCGTTTTGTTGCATTAATTGAATCAACGTTCTTCTTGTATTATGCCCACAATTAGAGAAAGTCTGTTTAGCCATATCAATTGTCTCCTTATTCGCATTAGATATTTCTTTCTGCATTTGTTTCAATTTTAATTCTTCGATTATTCTGTTTTGTTCAGCCAATTTAGCTTTTTGCTTTTCTATTATTTGTTTTTGAGCATTTAACCGACATTGCGCCGGCGATTCGATAATTATATGTTTATTTTTATGATAAGTGTTTCTATTCTTATTATTTGCACTATTAAATTCTTTTATCATTAAATTATTATCACTAATTTTTATTTTTTGATTTCCCATAATTGCATTTTGACTTTCCATAATTTTATTTATAAACATTTCGATTTTTTGCTCTTCGAAAATTTCTTTTTCTTCTTTTTGCTTCTGACCATTGATTTTCGCATCTTTTGTACGCGTTCTCCAAATATCGAAATATTTTCTCTTTATTTTCGATATCATATTTTCCTCAATTTTCGTCTTGATATCGCGAAAACGTTTTTCTTCCACGACATTATATTTTAAAACATCGAAATATTTCCTTAGAAGGGATAAACGTTGAGTGTCTATTTTAAAATTAATCTTATCTTTAATTGTTATTTTTATATTTCCAGCAGATTCATTTTTTTGATCTTTTATTTCTAATAAAGAATCGTTGATTTCTGTTATCATAATATCTGTACTTTCATTAGAACCATTGATTTGATCTTTTTTTTCTTCAATGATTTTCTGGGAAAATTTTTATATTTTATATTTTTGTAAAATAAATATATGTATATTTAGTTATTAAAATTTTATTTAAAATTATACGAACCTTGTTTTTTAATTTTCTGGCTGTCTTCCAAAAATCTTCGTCATCCGAAGATACAAAGTTTCTTTTTGCACAACATGTATAATTCGAGAATTTTGGTCGGGATTTACTTAATTCCATTTCAAATTTCTTCAATTCCCTCTCTAAAACTTGTTGTTGTTTTTTTATATATAATTGTTGTATCTCTTCTTCTATTAACAATCTATAAAATAATATTTTGAAATTAATTTTTAAAATTTTTTATCTAATTTTTAACTATATTTTAATTTAATCTATATTTTTAACTATATCATACTTTTTAGCTTCTTTCAAAACAGAGTCATTGAATGGCGAATTGGATTTTTCTTGCAATATTCGATGTCTTTCGTTCATTATTATATTTGGATCGAGAAATGTCTTTTCTTCGTCTTTCAACATTCGAAGTTTTTCCGATGGATGGAAAATATTTACTTTCATCAATCGATCCATTAGATTTGTCACTTCATTCATTTCTATCTATGATTTTTTATTATTATACAAATAAAATTCACAGTGATCTTTACATTAATGCATAAACGTCAAGATGCCATTCCAAGTCTTTGTTGATATCATTTTGTTTCGTTGTTAAGCAAATTTATAAAAGGTATTCCCTATACACGCACGCGTAAGCTCCCTCCTCATTCACAAATTAAGGAGTAAATTGAGTAATTGAGAAAGTTGTGCTAGGTGACGAAACACTATCGACTTTAATTAATTAAAAATATATTTATATTATATATTATTGTTTTCTATTTTTAAAAATTTCTTAAAATCTTCCATTTTTAAGTAAACCAATTAAGTAAACATATCTTATCGATAAATCAATTAAAAAATTTAAGTTTATGTTTTATAAATTATATTTATTTTAAAATGTGATTGTTTTGATATAAGATTTTAATATACGATATATATAAGTAATAAAGGATATTTAAATGTTCATATTAATTTATATTTGTTTTGAATAAGTTTTGAATAAAGAAAATTAGAATTAATTAGAAATTAATTAAAAATTGTTAAAATTATTATTCTACAAATATATTTTTTTTTATATGTTGATAATTTTGTCTATCAATTCGAAAATTTCCCGCCATTTCAGTGGTTCTCAATCTACATTATAAAAATGAATAATGTCGATTGTTGACGAACTAGTGAACTGCAGCAGGTGCATCACAAGACAAAAAGTGCATAGACTTCGAAAACTTACGTATTAGAAAGGTAAGTTTTCTATTTTATAAAGTGCAAAAGCATTATATTTTTAATTTTACTCTGTCATAGATGTTATCACACGATTCAATGATCCTAATATCTTACAATATATCCTCTTATTATATGATTAAACAAATAGAATATTTTTCATTTTATTCTTATGAAACAGATCTTTCTTTAGTTTTAAAGCGTGTTTTTAACAGATTTCAGGTATTATAATATTTCTGGTATACAACGCAAAATAAAATGGATCTAAGGGGCCCTCCTGAGGGGGCCCCTATTAACTCTTTTGAGATATCTATATCTGACAATTGGCCTACAGATTCTCTTTCTATATCAATGTGTGAACAAAAAAAAATGAATAATAATAAATTATTATTTTTAACTGTAAGTAAATTTTGAAGACTACACTTTGAGAAATGATATATATAATAATATATATATAATTTATGATATCTGAAATTATTTTTTTATTAGGTGGAATATGTAGAAGATCCATCACGAGAATATTCTCGTTTATTTCCAACATATGAACAAGTTTCATTTTCTCCTAGAGCTTCATCTCCACTTTCTGATTTTAAACATCGTGTTAGTCCTCTGGATCCTAATATGAGTTCAGCTGCTAGATATTCACCCACTCCAGTACAACTTCCACCATCTCCTTTTCATAATTCTGTTGTTGTATTGCAAGGTTCTTCTTCTTCTTTAATATCATCTGAGTCAAATGAAAGAATAAATATTAATTATGTTTCTCAATTGACTCATCCAATCGATACACAAAATGTACAACAATCTGATACTTCTACTGACTTTGTTGCCAACGAAAATGAGGAGCAATTGATGTCTAGTGTTAGTAATGAATTGATTCTTATGCAAGGTAAGTTTCATAAATGTATTTGTTAAATAAAATTATGTTTTTAAAATTCAATATATTATATATATTCATAGAATCTAATTCTGAATTAGAATCAGCTACAGCTCCATTGATGCTAACAGGAATACCAAGTACAGATTTTACATTAAGTAGAGATTTTCTTGTCATGCAAGATGATCAAATGAATGTTATAAATTCATTTAAGACACAGAATCTTGATGTAGATGATTCTACACATCTTTCATCAACAGCACAAAATTCAAATAAAGAAAATAATATAGATCCCTTAGATACAACCAATGAACAAGAAATTAATGAAATTTTAATGTCTACTGAAGACAAAAAAGATTGTGAAAAAAAACATGTCAGACGTTCAAAACGTCGTATAAATGATAAAAAAAATATTTGTACGTAATTTTACTGCCTTATTTAATCATAATAATATATTAAATCTAAATTTATTACAGGTTGTAATGAATGTGATGATGTATGTACTGGTGATAATTGTACTTCACATAATGTATGTACAATAGCAGATCAACCAGTACCATCACGTGCTATAGCAACACTGCCAGGATCATATCTTTCTATAAACAAATTATCTAATTCTGACATTGTATTGGGTGGACCAGATTATGGAGTGTTTGCGAAACGTTATATACAAAAACGTACTCAATTTGGACCTATAGAGGGTATTTTATACCCTTATGATGGTACACCATTTAAAAATGAG